GAAGCAGAATTTGGTCCAAAGGGAGTTGGCAACATGTCTGTATGCCTGCAGTTAGGGGGTGAAAACAATTTCTAAAAGGAATGGAATTACTAGGACTGCACCTTTTGAGTATTCTCTCCCCAGATGGGATATGTGGAATAACAGGAAATATTTGAACTATGAGGAAAAAGTAAATAAAAATAAACAAGAGATATAGATGTTTGGGTAAATGAGCCTCTCCATGCAGATAAGATCCAGTGATTAATGTTAGTGGGAGATAGGCATGTGCATATGAAAAGGAAAACAGTTGCTTGATACTGTGAGAAAATGTGGATGGTGTCTGTACCATTTGGGAGTCTGCAATATCCCATTAATAGCTGAAAACAGCTGGGGGTAAGAAAAAGGAATTTGGGGGAAAAAACACCGTATGGGTCTTACTTTTTCAAAGCCAAGTAAGCACAATTACATGTGCACTATTCTGTTTGCCTAATTTGCATATGCAAGTACAGTGATAGCCTGCTCAAATCAGATGTTTGCACTTACTAATGGACAGTTAAGTACATGAATATATATATACCACTGTGAAGGGCACCGTGGTAAACCGTTTATACACAGATATAGATGTGTATATGCAAATTGAGTATTTGTAGTCACAAACATGGTATTTACATGTACAAATTAGGTGCATACAGTTGAACACATGCAATTACATGCACTCAGCTTTGAAATTCAGGCCCTCTATCAAATTTACACATTGTAATACATATCTGGTGAATTAATAAATCAGTAAACTTAGGTTGTAGTAAAATAGTTTTTAGATAAGAAAAGGGTGCTGCATGATGTGAGGGGGAAGCTAATGTTCTGAAATGTATACCTTTAAAGCTATAAAATGCTAGTAATGTAAAATTCCAAAAATTCTATTATCCAGGTCTTTAATAGTCACTTGACTCCAAATATTGAGAAAATACTCCCATCTTGTTACGTTTGGAAGTGTAAATCCGCTCCAGTCTTTACATACAGTAACAGTATCCTTTTTTTTCTTTTTTGGTCAACTGCAGTGATTAAATAATTGCAGTTCAAACTTATTTAGTTAGTGAAATAATAAGGTCATTATTGCTGACATGGTAAAAACAATTCAAATTGTCTCTTCTGTACAACTGAAAGTGTCCTTATTTCTGTTCTGTATTCGATTTATGGACACCTCTGAAACTTCTACAAGAAAGGTTATGAAATTCATGGTGGTAAAATTAGGCACATTTTCTGTGACTAAAGATCTGCACCAACTAATGTGTAGGCCCAAAGGAGTAGAGTAGTAGATACACTAGAAAGGGAAAACAAGGTAAGAACATCTGTGAAATCAGTCAAGAGTAAGAGGGAAATCCAGATGTTGATCCACCTTTGGATACATGAGGTGCTATTAAGAAGGATAATCAGGAATTACTATGTAAATTTCCATTTTCAAACCCTCCAAGTACAGGGGTGTTAGCTCCCACAACCTGCCCTCTTATCACCATTGCTTTAGAGACAAAAAGATTGGTTTAAAAAATACATCCTGTGCAGAGCTGGTCACATTTTTTTGCCTCAAAACTTATATTTGATGGAAAATGACTTTTCAGTTAAATGAAGCAATTTCAATTACTTTCAATTTATAGTTCAATGAAACAAGTGAAAACTCAAACCTGAAAAACTTTTTGGTTTTGGCAACTAAAAGCCACATTTTTTTGGATGAAAACAATTGGTTTTCAGACTTTTTCCCTCTGAAAACATAAAAATTTTCAAATAAAAATTTGAATGAAAATTATTTTTGTTTAATTTCTGTTGATTTTTTTTTTTTTGGAAATAATTTCCTACCAGCCCTAACTCTGTGTGCAGCAGAAGTGAGGATCACAGCTGTTGTCAATAAACGTTTATGGGTGCTGAGATGTGAAGTTTTGCTTTAATCCACAACAATGTTGTGCAGAAGACCTACAATTGAATTATGTTTGATATGAATAACCTTTCTCTCTCATATATAGTAGTAGAGAGTGCGGGTGTATAGTGTGGAGAGTTGAAAGGTGAAAGGACCTGATGAAGGACTTGAAATCTGTAGAGGATATTTTGATATTTTTGCTTGACCTTCAGTTGCTTCTGTCCTGGAGCAATTCTTGTGTCCTACTCTTAAGTGAGGCTTAGAGAACCCCAAGCTTAATATGATTCCTTTCCCTCAGGGTGTAGCAAAACTTGAGTGACCTGTGAAGGGTTACACACTTCCTGCATTGCATGGTACCCAGCTTCATGGGGACCCCCTGAAGGCTGTGGTATATGGGAGAACTGGGGACGAGGCTGGGCCAGGATGGGGAAGGAGCAGAAGTGGGGCAGGTGGATACAGTGGGACTATAGGTTAACTTTCCTTACTTAAGATTTTAAGGGTTTTTCGCCTTCCTCTGCAGCGTGGGGCACGGGTCACTTGCTGGAGGATTCTCTGCACCATGAAGTCTTTAAACCACGATTTGAGGACTTCAGTAGCTCAGACATAGGATAGGGGTTTGATACAGGAGTGGGTGGGTGAGATTCTGTGGCCTGCGTTGTGCAGGAGGTTAGACTAGACGATCATAATGGTCCATTCTGACCTTAAAGTCTATGATTCTATGATTATCTCCAACAACTCTCCTTCTGCAAATCTTTCACTTTCTTGCCTTTGTGTTGCTGTGTAGAACACCAGTGTAGAGAAAGTGCACAAAACTAAGAAAATGGGAAGGAAAATACAGATCACCATCAACACCTGTTTTTTATTCACCCCATGCAACCAAATAGAATGCCTTAGGACAAAAGGAGATCATGCAGACACATTTTCCTTTGTGCACCGCTTCATATAAAACGTTAATTGTACTTTATAATCAAAGCACAGAAACAGTATTTTTTTCTTTGATCTAGAGGCATAGCACACAGTCTCTCTGGCAAGGAGGAGACATATGTTTATACAGTGACTGAGAGGCAAATGCTTGTTGTCAATTTTACTTTTTGTCAAATAAAAAATGGAGTCCAGGATCAACTGTGTATATGAGGACTGAAGTCACTGCAACTTGCAAGTGTAAGCCAGGGTCTGAATGAGCTCTCCCCTGCCATCTAGTGAGGGAAGAGACTTCAGGAGCAGTGTGTACATTTGCATCGAGTGGTGTTGGAGCTGTGTCAGACCCAGGATATTAGACACAAGGGGGTGAGGTAATATCTTTTATTGGACCAACTTCTGTTGGTGAGAGAGACAAGTTTTCAAGCTACACAGAACTCTTCTTCAGGACCTGAAGTAGGCAGAGCTGCTTTGCCAAAGTGCTCAATTTTGGCTGCTTTGGGTTAAAATTCACTGTAGTATTGAGTGCAGGGGTAATTAAATGTTGTTATCCTTATTGTGTATGTAAAGAGCAGCAGAACTGTACTTAGCATGTTCTGATTGAAGGCTCACTCTAAAATTTACCTCACTTGCTAAATAGGGGGGAGGGGTGCCAAATCCAAGTGAAAGTGAGGGGGATGGGAAGGGCTCTTTTTGATAAGTCCTAGACACCATTTGACCCTGCCCTCTCCAATGTTTAAATACAGAACTGATCAAACTCAGTTGAGCGTCCTCGGTTCTGTTCACTGATTCCTAGAGCTCAAACCCCTGATGAGCAGGTCTAGGGAGTGAGCCTTAGACCTGGCGTCAGGTGTGAGGACAGCGTTGCAGTGAAAGACAACTCAGAGGCTGCAATAGCAGTGAAGTTCCCCGCTACCCAGTGAAATCACTCAGAGCTGAGATCATTAAGAACTGGGCAAAGTGGTGGAACCTCAGATCATGGCATTACAGAGGTGGCAGCAAGCAGTGACAGATATAACAGTGGGAGCAGCGGCAACAAGCAGCAGACATAGCAGAGGCAGCAGTAAGTGGCCAACAATGGCAGAGGAACAGTGAGCAGCAGGAGAATGGCAGTGGTAGCAATGTTCCTTCCCTCCCCCTTTCAGGGTGGGAGGTGACCCCACGTGAATGCACCCTTGAGTTCCAGGACTTGGCTGACCTCAGACAACAGAGTGGGGGGCAGTGGAAGGAAAGGGGAGTGGCATGTTAGATGGATATTCGTCCATCAGACTTTCACACTGCAAGGTGGGAAACCGAGGCAAATGCCACTGCCCTATATACTGTGGAGAGGGTGTTTGTTTATGGTTTACATACTTTTGAATAATTTGTTTCAGTGTTTTCCCAAATTAATTCTGGGTTCCTTCTAATAAAACTTTTCTTTTGTTATACACAGACTCAGGGCTTGTGAGTGGGGAAGTATTGCCTCTTAGGCCTGGTCTACACTGGGGGGCGAGGGGAAGGGATTGATCTAAGTTACGCAACTTCAGCTACGTGAATAAGGTGGCTGAAGTCGACGTACTTAGATCGACTTACCATGGTGTCTTCACCGCAGTGAGTCGACTGCTGCCGCTCCCCCGTTGACTCAGCCTGTGCTGCTTGCGGTGGTGGAGTACAGGAGTCGACGGGAGAGCACGCAGGGGTCGATTTATCGTGTCTAGACTAGACTAGACACGATAAATCGACCCCCGCTGGATCAATTGCTGCCCACCGATCCGGCGGGTAGTGTAGACATACTCTTAGATGTGCCCGGGGGTAGTCTTTAGTTTCCCCAGATTACTGGGTAGGGGCTTGAACCAGGTCTGTTTCTCATTTTTAAGAGGAACCCCTAGATATTGAACCTGACCCCCATTGCTGCCAACACCACCTCGTGGAAGAGTTACACAAGCCAAGACATTGAGCTGAAAACTGTGTCTTGTAACCCTGGTTTTTGCAGTGAAAGAAAGAGAGGGAAATAGAAAGGAAGAAAGAAAACAAGACAGAGTGTTCTGGAGAGTCACACCTGCCAAGTGCTGGCAGAGCAGAGCTCTCTCTCTCTTCCCCCTGTGTGTCTGTATATGTGTCTGGCTGGTGAGTCCTATGATCACATGCACCTCAGGCTCCTGCCTCCCTCCCTCCTCAGCTCTCTCTCTCACTGCACTCCTTGCAACTTTTGCAAACTAGTCTAATGCAGAAGCATTTATCACAGACTGGACTCTTTATCCCTACACAAGTCCTGGAATTCACCAGTGACCACGGCTTGCTGTTTTTCCTATCTGCTGAATAAGGATCTGGGACTCAGAGTGGAGTTTTTGTGCAGCGTTAAAAAAAATGATTTCTCTTAGCAAGAAAGGCTCCTGTTCGTCTCAGCTCTGTCTTGCTCTCTGTGCCTTTGGGCTAGCACTGCTTGGGGATTTATCCCAGGCTTTGCCTGTGGAGGATCAGGATTATTACCTGCAGGAGATTATAAACAGGGATCATTATTATTCCTATCCAGGTCCCGATGAGGAATTTTCCCTTTTCACAGAGCAACCTGGACAGGAAGAAACAGCCCCCATTGCAGAGGCAGAGGAGCCCCCAAGGTTCAGACCGGGCAAGAAAGAGTTAAAACAGAAGAAAGGCAACAAAAAAGAAAAATCCATTCTCGAGATTCCACCAGGTAACTTTCCACCTCTTCTTCCTAACTTTCAGAGCTCTGCTGAGTCTCACACTGACTCTGACTTCTAACATAAATTAATACCCTAATACTGATAGTAATAATAATAAATGTGCTGGTGATGATGACACATACTAACTTTCTAACACCAAGCTTTTCAGCTCTTTGGAAATCTCACATGCACTTTTACCCTTTCCCTCTCACCTGTCACATTAAGAGCTTTCAAAAACACTGCATTTCATTAATCAAATGAGACTCCAGCTGGTGCATGAACTTCCCTTCTTATCATATTTCACATTTGGCTTGTTGTTGAAACTACAGTTTTGCAATCAAATGAAGAGAGACTCACTCCATGGTAAAATCTGATTGTCTGTCTTATGGTGATTTCATATTGTACCTCCGGTCATTTTAACTCTAAATGTTCTTCACCTTTGAACAGGTGAATCACTGTCAGATTTCACTTTAAAGCTCTCCCATGAAAGAAATGTAAACAGGGATTTTCCTTCAGAGAGATCAGTTCCTAGGGGGATTAATTTTAATAATTAGGAGGTACTAATAAATAATTTCATAAATAAATGAAAGGGCAGCCATATCGTCCATCACTTCAGTTATTACATGTAATTTCTTTGGCTGGAAGAAGACAAGCTATTGGAAACCTACACATTACTATAATTCCCCAAACTGTGGTCAGTAAGCACAGTAGAGTGGTTTCTATTTCGACACAGTTACACTCAGGTGGCTGGGCAGTTTATTCTACAGGCATTCTCTGATTGCACTGGTCTTATTTCATTTCTTTGGTGGAAATTCGAAATCTAAATTATTTCACGGAGTAAGCAACAATCTTATAAAATTAAGGGCCAGATCCCACAGCCCTTGCTCAGGCAAAACTCCCATTGGCTTCAGTAGGAATTTTGTATCCTTAAATACTATGGGATATGGCACAAAATTTGCAAATTAAAGACACCCACCTCACAGCAAATTGGAGAGGTAAGGTTCTCATAGTGGCATTAACTCTTCCCAGTTGCATATAGGTGATATTAAATTAAGGGTTGCAGTTTAAGTGTAAAACTGGTAAAAATCAGTTACTTTCTGATCAAGAAAAAAATTGAAAACAGCTTTTTATACATTATGCCCCAAATTTACCATTTCTGCAGTGTTGAAAATTGTTAGAGGGCCAGCAGATCTTAGCTGTGGGTACAGCCCAGGGCAGAGGACCCTAGTAGCAGAGAGTCTGCCTGGGTGAAGGTAGCAGTGGTACAAGAAACCTATAACCTGGTGCTCCACTGGGGATCAGCAGCTAGTGCTCCACTGGGGATCAGCAGCTAGACAGAAGGTTCAAAAGCAGATGGCACTGGCAGGGTAACTCTGGGATGTGCTGATTCAGCTTATTATCTGGTAGTGCATGCACTGCTTTTCATAGAATCATAGAATATCAGGGTTGGAAGGGACCTCAGGAGGTCATCTAGTCCAACCCCCTGCTCAAAGCAGGACCAATTCCCAACTAAATCATCCCAGCCAGGGCTTTGTCAAGCCTGACCTTAAAAACCTCTAAGGAAGGAGATTCCACCACCTCCCTAGGTAACCCATTCCAGTGCTTCACCACCCTCCTAGTGAAAAAGTTTTTCCTAATATCCAACCTAAACCTCCCCAACTGCAACCTGAGACCATTACTCCTTGTTCTGTCATCAGGTACCACTGAGAACAGTCTAGATCCATCCTCTTTGGAACCCCCTTTCAGGTAGTTGAAAGCAGCTATCAAATCCCCCTCCCATTTTGTGTGTGTGTGGGGGGGAGGAGGCAGGAGGGTTCCCCCTGAGGTGCAATGACCCTGTTTGTGTACAAGGTTCAGTTCACAGCCCTCTGGACTCCAGCAGGTATGTAAGAAGCCCCACATATGTACAGCCATATTATCCCCTTTGATCCAAATTGGTGTCTAGAAACTTTGTATGCTTGCACTTGTAGAATTTACTGAAAAGTATTCCCTTGGTGAAGTTTGGTCCACTGAGGAAGTGATAGGCAGCTCATAACACTAAATCAGTTGATTCTCCAAGATCCAGAGCTCAGGTGATCTACCAAGTGCTGAACCATCTCCATGGAGGCTCTGTAGCTCTATACTGCCTTCAAGCTCCCTACTGGCTTTACCCCAACTTCCCTAGCAGCATAGCTGCAAACATACACCAGAAAGCCCAGCATCACTCAGGAGGGATGGGATAGCTCAATGGTTTGCGCATTGGCCTGCTAAACCCAGAGTTGTGAGCTCAATCCTTGAGGGGGCCACCTAGGGATCTGGGGCAAAATCAGTAATTGGTCCTGCTAGTGAAGGCAGGGGGCTGGACTCATGACCTGTCAGGGTCCCTTCCAGTTCTAGGAGATAGGTATATATCTCCATATATTATTATTATTATTATTATCTCTGTGGCAGAGGCAGGGATAGAATTTGATTCTCTTCTCTTCCTGCAATCTCCTTCCTCATTCACACACTTTCCAACTTCTGCAACAAATGAGGCCAGAGTCCTACAGACAGCAATCCCCTTTACACCACTCTGATTCATTCCCAGGACAGGTCCCTCCTGTGGGGTTAATAAGGTAGGGGTCCTGTGGAAAAAAACGACTATGTGATCGTGTAATTAAAGACTCCCATAATGCATATGCACAAGGGGAGCTGAATTAATGGCTGTAACAGGGTAGCTTGTCTCTTTAAGGGCCAGAGGCCTGGGCCCATCCAATCCCAGTTACTAAGGAGGCACATCTGAATGGGGATCAGCTGATAAAGAGTACAAGGAAGGAGGGCAGAGGGTCTGAGGAAGTTGAAGGAACTGCAGAGAAAGGAAGGAATGGCAGGGTGGTGGAGACAGGAGGCCTGGCAGTAGCCTTAGGGGCAGAGACTAAGGTCCGAAGGGTAACTGCTTAATGTTTGCATTTTTGTTTGTTGTTTTGGAAAATAAATAAAGCCCTGGGGAAGGGCCTGCAAGAGTGATCTGTTGTGAGTTTAGTTGGGGAGCCCTGGAGAGCGGTGAGATTGATGGAACGGGGCCTGCAGAGTGGATTGGAAGGCAGCACATCCTGTGATGCTGGCTTTCTCAACTTTTGAGCATATGGTGTCCCAACTTTTAATGTTCTTTTAACATCGTTTTTCTTTGTAATTTCCTAGGTTTTAAAAAAAAGCAAACTGTAAAAAGAGAAATTCCATGCTATGGCATTGCATTGACACCCACATGATTTATCAGGTGGGCTGGAGCCTTTAGATCTACCACAGACTTCTGCCACTTGAACTAAGGGAGTAACTGGCAGCAGTAGTAGGTGGTCATCTTCTATGTGGACCAGTACTAGAGGGGGATATGAGACACATTTCACATACATTTGTTGACAGCAGAGGAATGGTGAGACTTAGAAATGTTGGTGCCCTTGTCCCCTCCACGCTGTCCTTGTGCCATTCTTGTTCCTCCCTCCAGTTTCTCATCCTAGTGTCCACCCCCTCATCCCTGGCTCCTCGCAGTACCAGTCCCCTCACCTACCCAGTCTCAGTCTCCTCATTCCAGTTTCTCTCTCCTAGGCTCCGTGATTAAGTCCCAGTCTCTCTGCCCCCACAAGCTCCCAGTCTCAGTATCCCCATGCTGGTCCCAGTTGTTCCCAATCTCCTCTCCTTCCAGGCATCCTCTTCCAGTCTCCATCTCTCATTCTTTCCTCCCTGGTTCCCAGTCATCCCCCACCATATTCCTTGTCCCAACCCTACCCACTTACTCCTATATCCAGCTCCAGTTTCTTCTGCATTTCAGTCAGATGACTTCCTCCTCCTTGCTACCTGGGCACCAGCATGGTGGGCAAGGAGAGCATGAGGGACAATTTCCTTGTTCTTCGTTCTGATGATTGGTGCCACACAGCCTGAAGCAATTACAGGGAAAGTCCTGCTGAGCCCTTTCAGCCCTGGACTGGAGCATGTTCAGTGCAGAGAAATTGAGCTGCCATCCTCTAAGAAGTCTCAGCTGAGCATGTGTGAATTGAAATTTTTCAAAGACTTATAGCGTGGCCATATTTGGGCATTTTTTCAGGGTGATAGCAAAGGGCATATTCCCGACACCCACGTGACTCCCTGACAAATTTCAAGTCCCTGCTCCAAAGCATGGAGGCGCTAGAACATCTTAAATAAATTGTCATAAGATTTTTTTTTTTTTTTAACATGGGAAAAACCACATTTTCCTCTTACTCATGCTCTGGAATGTCTGAAACATTTTAACTGAAACTACCCAAAATAATTCAGCCTAAGGCAGACACCCAACATGTTGAAGCTCAGCCTGAACGCCTAAGGACTGGCAAAGTTATAAGCAACTGAAAAAAGGGATCTTATACTGGGAAGTATTGAAGAACCTTAACTATAGATGGCACTAGCAGCTCTGTCTATAATCTACACAAAATAACTATCCGAGGCACTATAGAGTGATCCAGCAATTATGTAGGTTAAATCTAAAACACTATCTAGTGCAGTGTTACGTGGATTAGTACCATTAAAATCAATTAAAGCTGTTGGTTTTCAGCACCTCTGAAAACCAAGTCACTTACATAAGTGCCAAAATATAAATGTAGGTGCCTAGAATTGCACACCCAATTTTGAAAAATTGGCCTTATAAAGGTACAGATTGTGCTGAGCTCATGATTGATTGGTGCTTAACTAATAATTATGAATCTAACCGTAAATATGTTTGGAGGTGTAAGTATTTATATATTTACATATATGAACAAACACTTATACATTGAATAAAGATTAAATCAACGGACATATAGTAAATATAAAATGTTCCTTGTTTGTGAAGCTCAGTGGGAGCAGGGGCATGTTGGATTAATTATATGTTGTAGCAAACAATAGACGGGATCTTGGCTGGAATGAAGAAAGGCAGAGGAATGGGAATGTGTGATCTGCCCTTTGGCTGAGCAGCTGTTAGTGATCAGTGCTAACTTTGAATTAAAGTTGGACTAAAATCAAAACAGTGTAAAGGCTACAGCAAATT